AACTTTCTGATTCCGAATTGAAACCAGGAATATAGTCACGTAGAATGCAATCCCTCCCACGTGCTAAATAACACCTCTGTCTAACGTGAAATAATTCTTCGAGGATTTCCATGGAAATAGGTACCGTAAAACTAAATTTCTACGGTAGGAGCGTGTGCTCCATTTGGGCGTCCGATAAATAGCGAGAATTCCCCGCGAAATTATATTCGAAGTCCGAGCCGGGCAGTGAAATCAATTTTGCATATAGGGAGAGGACTTACCTGATTCCTCCACGTGTGGTGTCGTAATTCAGCGTTCGGGATCCATGTCGCCACGTAATGTATCCGGTAGGTTGCGGTATATTGCTGACCACGCACTTCAGTTCTATTGTGCTACCCGCTTTGTAGAATTTGTCGCCAGCCGTGGCGCCGTGCTCATCGACGATTTCCACCCTCGGCACTGAAAAAGACAGGGATCCATTTTCGTGAGGACAAGTTGCACAATTTCGAAGTTCAAGTTCTTTATTTACATTATTAAACATATAGACGATAATTTTTCTTATTATAATAATCACTGATGGCTCATTAAATATTCTTCCAGAATTCTAATATCTTTGAGACAATTATTGCATCGAGTTATAATGTAACGTTTTCTTAGTGCAACGAGATTTTTGTAACAAAATATTTCCCAACACATTACTCGTGCCAAAAGTTTTCGAAACCCTAGTAGGTACACAAGACTCCTTCTGAAGCGAGATGAAAAACTGTGTACACGTCGCGATGGCACGGGTCATAGAAAAATAACTTGTTTCCCCAGTCATCGGTTCGTTTCAGATCCAGCCCAGCAGCGCAAGAAACGTGCTGAAGAAACTACTGCCAACTGCGAACGGGGTAAAGGTATTGCCGAAATTTCTCAACAGTCGAAGCCCGTTTGTCCGTTGGAAACACAGCCGCGAAAAAATCCTCCCCTGCTGTCGATGTCGCGAGTACGAACGTGCCGTTCGAACAATAAGTTATTCTTAACAAGAGAAGATGGATGCAAACGACGGAAAGAGCGATCCTTCGTTCACGTGAACGGTTTAAAACCGAGGAACGAGCCTGTCGTTTTCGGAATACGGATCGTTGCAGGACCAGGCATCACGAGCATAGAAGGGAGACTTCGAAATCGCGGCCGCGTTCGGGCATCTGTTGCGGTTCCTGCTACGCCCGTCGAAGCTTAATTACCGCCGTATACCGGCGTGAAAATATAACTACACGTTTAGAGCAACGACCGACGCTAGTTTTAAACTTTAACGATCAAACGACGACTCCCGACTCAATAAATGAATACGAACGAAGGACTCTACCCAGATAAACGATATAGAGCAACTTTGCGACTACCAAATACTGCATTATCCAATAAATTGTCTTGCGCTTTGCAAATGTTCGTCTTGGCGTAATGATTCAATTAGAATAAAAAGTATTGTAGCAATCTTTATTCACACTCGTTGACGACATTTTGTCTAAAATATATTATAATCATATTTGAATGATAATGTGCATACAAAATGATGTGAAATGATTCATATTTTCGTCAAACATATTTCGATCATGCAATGACCACCTATAGAATGGAAACTCAAAGTTTCAGCACTTAAATATTTCCGTCATTTTAGGAGGTATGAAATACTTTACACAAAACCTATCTGGATAAATATTCGGACAATGGAACAACCGCATTTCGCACATTAAATTTCTTATGTATTTCCTAGGAAGTTTCCCAACATCAAATTAAAAATGATTAAACCATATGTAAAAACAGTATTGTAGTACATTTAATATTTTGAATAAAGCGACAATATTTCTAAATATGATCCGTACTAAAATAATTTAGATTAGACAATCCTGTCTACTTTTCATATGTGTCATTCAGTTGGACAGTTTAAAATAAATACGTATCTACTGATCTGACATATATCGACAGTCTTCGACGTAGCAGCGTTATATGGAGGACAGATTTAACCCACTTACGTTGGAAGAGACATGCGTCAAATAAAATTTCTATCATTCAGAAGATGAATCTTTAAGATTTTTGAATATCATATCTGACAAGGACAAACGAGTAAAACTATTTATATCATTTAAATTCTGTGATCAAACTGAAATGAATGATATTCATGTACACGCTAGTATTATTATC